GTTTTGGGGTGAAAGCTTTGGGGGTCTCATGAGCCGTTGCTGTAACCCTTCGCGAATGCATGGCAACTATTCAGAAGACATGGCAGGATCGATCTTTGAGGGCTTGGACCGGATGGGTTCAGCTAAACCACCTTCTACTTTAGCTGACAACAGTTATAGTCCCCCTTAAGTAGATAGAATATGGCGTATATGGGTATCTTGCTATAATATACGCAACGCCATATTCTATCTACTTAAGAGGGACTATACGACTTAAGAGCCTGTGGTTTAAACCGAGTTGAAGGTCTCCGGGTTTTGAAGTCACTGCTCTGGATCTGTGTATCAGGCTTACGTTGGTGCAGAGCGGATTCAACGAAGCAAAATTGACTTCCTTTTCCGCGCGTTAGACTCTCACTCCTCAGATTGGGGACAGTACTAGAGGCAGGGTCAGCAAGGTCTTCAGGACAAGTACCACGCGTGTCACTGCACGTGAACAGAGTTCCCAACAGCAAGCTCGCAGATTTAAGCTTCCCCATATCAAGATCCTGAACGGGAGTCCACGAATACATACATGCACAATTTCTGAGAAATCACGCAGCCCAAAACTTGCATCTGCTGAGGCAAGGACGTCCCATCACAAAGCTCTGAGTTCGCCCATCCGGATATTGTGCAAAGGCCTCAGGCAGTTGCCCCTCGTTGAGTGTGTGGGACCCCTAGACGCGGAATTAGAGAGGATTTGGTTTAGGGGTTCAGGGATTTAGGGGTTAAGGGTTTAGGGGTTTAACGGTTTAGGGTTTAGGGGTTTAGGGGTTGATGTAGGATGGCACCCCTTCCATGAGCAGAAGCTCAGGTTGGGCCTAACATCCTTCGCTTACCGCTACGAGGGCTTGCGCCGCTCTGACTTCGATGAGGCCTGGACGCCCAGAGAGAGAGGCATTGCTCTTTCCTAAAAGTACCCAGGGGTAGATTTGAGCAGTAAATAATTTTGTTACCTTCAATTACTACATATTCCTCCTAAAAAACATACATTTTGGTTTCATAAGGCCCCCAAAGCTGCCCTACTAACATGCAGTCCGAAATCAGACCCTGAAGAAACCTTGAAGGGGGCGGAGCAGGGTACCTGGATGTTCAGGGCAATCATCCTAAGAGTTCCTAGTACTCAAACCATCCGAGCATATCGCTGCCTGGGGTGAGAAATAGTAACAGTACAGCTTGGCTTGGGGTCCTATGCAAGTTTGTTATACCAAAAAATAGGGGTTATCTACTATGTAACCTCTATATAATCCAGTTTTCATTTCACTTTCCATATTCTTTTCCATTTGATTCTCCATTATTGGGCCCTATACCCTAAGCCCCTAAACCCTAAACAGGGATTCGGTGACTTGAGTGCACACCTTGGATTGTAGGATGAAGGTAGGCGAGGCTGGAAAGGCTTGAATGCTCTTGCGGAAACTGGATCATCTTATTCACTGGGTTTGCACAACCTACACTGCAGGAAGATTGCATGGGCTGTAGACTGCCGCAAGGGTTGAGAGGCAGAGGAGGAGTAGTTGTGATCAGCTTTGGAATGCTGAAGTTTAGCATGCTTGGCCAAAGTTCCGGGTAGAATGAATGGCTTATGCTGCGCGGAGGGCGCAGAGTGCGCAGAGTGCGCAGAGTGCGTGAAGTTCTTTTTGTGACAGAGGGGCCGTGACAAGAACCAGACCAGGCCATGGAATCACCACATCCCAACCCCTCAGATTCGATTTTCACCTCGCGGGCACCCATGCTGACCAACCAGTCTCATTTGATCACCCAGGCTCGGAAATTCAGAGCCGCTCAAACATCACCTGCACCGGAAAGCCAAATAAAATCGTCTACTACTACTACTACTACTACTACTACTACTACTACTAGGACTAGGCTACTGCTACTACGACGGCGACGATGATGCTACAAAACCCTACACTGCAATCTTGTTCAGGTCATGTCCGCTCTGGCCGATCGCATTTCGGATGCAGTAAGTTGGGATGTTTTGTTTCCGCGTGCTGTGACATTAGTAATTAAGAGAAACTATGGAGGAGGCTTCCGAGGATAGATCAGGCCCTAGACGGACAGGCCATAAGACCATACGCGCCCCTTGTGCAGCCCGAAACAGCCTTTACGAACCTTGACTGCCTTGGCAGCTCCACGCGAGCTTGCAATATGTGGTCCCCACGCCCCAGACGCCATTATGATTTGGAAGGGTTGCGAGAACAACCATGCTACCCTAAGGGTCCAAGTACCTAATAATCATATACGTACCCAAAGCCTAGACTATAATTACTATTACCCTAAACCCAAGTACCTAGTTATTGTACATGGACCCTTAGGGCTAGGCTTTCTAGGAACCCTAAACCCTAAATCCTAAACCTTAAACCCCTAAACCCTAAACCTTAAACCCCCAAACCCTAAACCTTAAACCTCCAAACCCTAAACCTTAAACCCCCAAACCCTAAACCTTAAACCCCTAAACCCTAAACCTTAAACCCCCAAACCCTAAACCTTAACCCCCTAAACCCTAAACCTACTTAAGGGGACTAACACTGTCCTAATCGGCCCAAAAGCTCCTTGCAGGCCGAACGACCTCCCAAGCCTCGTGACCCATAGGGGCTACCCAAGCTTTCTGAAGAAGTTTACGAGTAGTCGCTGCTTCTAGCTTCCCCTAAGGGTCCTTGGACCCTTAGGCTTCAGAAGAAGGCAAGATGATTACACCTACTCCAATTTCGAAGGGGGTGTCCTCGCGCAGACTAGCATGAGACCCCACAGTAGTTCCCATTTTTTTTAGGGACTGCAGCCTTTATAGGTCCCTTTTGGGGGGTCCGTTTGCGAGAGGGTGCGAGATCCATGCCTAACTCTTACACCCTAAACCCTTCAAGGCCTGGAGAATGAGGGTGGCGGCTCTCAGTTAGAAAGGCCCACGGCACTCCGCCCGGAAGCCAAGCATCTCCTTTTCGATTGTTTTGAGTTGGAAGCCGAAAAGAACTCGGAAGCTACAACCAATTGCTCACCCTAAGGGTCCAAGGACCCAAATAATAGGGCCCAAATACTATATTATTAATGGTATTTGGGCCCCTAAAGATCGATTATTTGGGTCCTTGGACCCTTAGGGGCAGGGTTTAGGGTTTACGGTTTAGTATGTAATTGGGGAAGGGATCCTATATACTGTCCCCACATGCTCCTTTTAGACTTGTTATAACCCATGCTCCGTTCCCCAACTAAGCAGAAGCATATTCCGCGGACTTGGACATGGGTTCATCAATGGAATGAGGGTTGAGTTTAGGGTTGACCTAAACCCCAAAAGTATGTAAAATGATAGCCCTAAACCACAAAAATCAGCCCAAAAGGCTATGATTCTACATGCTTTTGGGGTCCAGGTAGGATTTTGGGTGACGTGGTTGAGGAGGCCTTGAGTTTTGGGAAGCTTTGGGGCTCGTTTGAGTGGGTGCTCAGTTGGGGGGTGGATTTTTTTGAGGGTTTCCTGAGACCCAGATCTCCAGGAGATCCAGAAAGTAGAAAAGCTAGTGTGGTAACGAACATCTTTTCTAAGAACCTTCCAGAAACCCTCAACTCAGTGGGATCTCATTTCTGGATCCTAGCAAAGTTCTGGGCAAGACTTGTGAGGCTAAGGGAAGATTTGAGGTTTCGGATGCTTGGGCATGGGATTTGCTGTCGGCTTTCTCCATGGATGCTGATCGTTGCAAAGGGCGTTGCAAAAGACGTTGCAAAAGCCTGCTGTAAGAGCAAACTGTACTTCTCCACTCCTCACAGAGTTTAACGGATTCTGATTAAGATCAGTGTTCTAGACCACTGTACGACTTTTGGATTTGGACTTCTGGATTCGGGGTAGGCCGAGGGCTTCAGAATGCGAATAGGAGGCTAAGTCAAGCCCCGCTTTTGGCTGTATGCCAGGACAGATATAGCAAAAAGGTATGAATCAAATGGGTGGACGGTCAGCTGGAACGTCGTATCGGGTGAATGTCTCAAACGCACAGTGATAAGAGCTAGATCTTTGCATCCTAGGCCTTGCGCGGCAAGTTTCAGCTTCGTGCTTGTACTCCGCAGCTAGCACGCTCGCGCAAATGAGGTCAAGCTTCCAGCAGAGTCCTGGATCTCGACAAGCCTTAGAAGCACCAAACACCGGCAACATATATGTAGTTGTTGTGCGCTTCTTCAGAAGGCTGCCCTGCCCCGCGTTGGATCTTGAACGGGAGTTCTTCAAGTCACGCCCATACGGTCCATCAAGGGACCGCTACAATAACCCCCTCATAATCCCCAAAACCCCTTGACCCCATAAAGGTATCTACACAGACCCCCACTGGAGGCTGGAAGTCCTGGGTGGAGGAGGCTGGTGCTGTCTTCTGCGTGAAGCAGCGGGAGATGGACGAGCGCGCAGCTAGCGAGGAATGGAGGGGGGGGCAGGTACTGGGCTTTTGGGTTCAAACTTTAGGGTTCATAGGGCTTAGGGTGTGGGGTACCGTGCGTTCGCTTGAGCCAGGTAAGTGGGAACATCTCTAGAAATTTGCTTGCTAGATGGGATGGACGAGGTGATGGCGCCAGGCCTCAGGAATCGAAAGGTGTCGCTTTCAATGTGGCAGTATAAATTAAATTGACCATAACCTCAATATACTAAGGTAGTTTCCATTTCGTTTTTCATTATCACTTATATAGATAAAACCCCAATATACTATAGCAGTTTCCATTTTCTTTTCCATTATCACCCGTCTCCAGTTCCAAGGCTGCAGGGTTTTGTTAAACGTCCTGTGATACGGGGCTTTGTGTGGCACGGTGCTGGGCTTGATGGGGTATCAGCAGACATTCCTGCTGCGCCTTCCGCTGCACTTTGCTCAGTTTCCTTTGACGGAGATACTGCGCAGGGATCAGCGTGCTAGGCAACCGTTGAAGCAGTTTGTAGCTTGAGCCCTTGAAATTACATCATCCTGCTGCCATAGCATTAGCTTATACGCAGCTGCCGCCGTCAAGGGCATTCCTTGTCCAACAGCATGGCCCGCGAGGGCGAAGGCTTCGAACTGGAGACCGAGCTGCATGCTGCTGCAAGGCAGGGCGACGTAGAAGCGCTGAAGCGGCTGGTGGCCGCAGAAGCAGACGTGAACAAGGCGGATGTGGACCTCTACACCCCATTGCACCGTGCCTGCGATAGGAAAGATGCAGCTTGCGTAGAGCTGCTCTTGCAGTACAAGGCCAGACTCTCGCTCCGGTTCCTTTTTTTGCAACCCTGTCTTTGTACTCCTGTTTTAGTGATCCACAGAGAATGATTACACCACAAACTTTGGAGCTTTGGAGGCGGACCCCAACGTGTCGCACCCTGGCTTGGATGGTTGGACGCCCCTACACCTTGCTGCCTGGCGGGACTCCAAGCCCTGTGCTTCTCTCCTGCTTCAAGCTGGAGCCGACTCTTCAGCCCTCGACTCACTGCATCATTTTGCTCAGTACAAGCTTTCTTGATTTTGCTGGTCGATTCCCATTTAAACTCCGCATAGCAGTCTTAAGCACCCTATTCCCCACAACCGGCGTTGAAGATTTCAGGCATATCTTTCCTCGAAGTACTGCAACCCCTAGGACTGGTATGGCAAGACTGCCCTGGCGCTTGCAGGGCAAGAGGTCAAGCCGCTCATCCGCGAGAAGGTCGCGAGCCAGCCGAAGGGCTCCGACAGCTGGCAGAACTTCCGCAAGGGCTGCGTGATGCAGCCACTTACTCCCAAACTTCTTTGACATGTGGTTGCTTAGTGTGTGTGCGTGTTGTTTAGGTTTAAGCCTAAGCTTTGATGAACATAGGTTTCGGTAGTTGCTCGAAGTAAGGCCCTCTGCCGTCCATCTCGCTAACATCGAGCGGTGTAACAAGGCCTCTCAGGAGCACGGCGAGCAACAGGGCGACTTCTGTGCCAATTTCGATGTCCAGGCAGACAACGCAAGCAAGGCAGCTGTGAAGTCTCGGCTCTGATGGCGATGAGTTGGACAGTGAGTCCACCCTCAAACAAAGAGTACCAAAGCAAAGCTAAGCTCATACACTCCCTTTATGAAAGCCCCCAGGCAGCCTTTCGCCAATTTCCAATCATGGAGTTCAGCTAGACTTCCGACATAGCACGCCCTGGACCCAAAACCCAACATTGAAATGGTTCTTTGGAGCCCTGCTTCAAGGCCTGAGTTTCGCTTTCGAGCCCTAGTGCTGCCTGTTTCTTCGGCAGAGCCGAAGTGGCTAGGAGACCGAGGCAATAATTTTTCGCAGCGAAGAACATCACAGAAGCGTGCTCCGTAACAGGAAACATAAACCTAGACCCTCCTTCTACTCACTCTATACCCTAAATAGGGACCATATACCCAGATATGAAGGGTACAAGGAGTGTCCTGTGGGGGCGTATTCTCCATGTCTGATGGTTGCACTTTTAAGAAGAAGAGGAGGCTGACCTGCCCTGAAGCGTCAACATGTCAGACCCAACAAGGAACGCTCCTTGCAAGTTGTTTGGGGCATGTGAGGGCAGAATCATCCCCCTGGCATCGATGTCATCGCGAGGATAGGCCGACATAAGGCCACATGATTCACGATTAATGCTGGGCAGCCTTAGTAACAATGTTCATGCTCTTGCTAGTGCTATGGGAACCATGCCAATACGAGAGCATACCCCTACAGCCATTTCCTCTTGGCTGTGCATTAAAGCCGCAAAACTAGCTTCCCTCCAGAAGACCGTAGGGATTCAAGTATACAAATAACAACTACATCGGACCTTAAAGTCTGTAAACATTACCCACATGGGTTATTTGGATCCCTACGGAAGCGGCTTTATCTGTCCCAGCCTCCTATTGCGGCTGCAGTACCACACTGACATGTTTGCAAGGTGCGTGTTCTGCTGTTCAACATTTCTGTGTTTTTTGACTACGGGCTTCTATGGCCCCTCGCGTGCAAGCAGCGTCCAGGAGACGGGGGAAGATCCGCGCGCCGACAAGCGTCCCAGAGCCAGCGACCTAGGGGTTGTAAGCTTTAGGGTTTGCTGCGTTAGGCTTGAAATTAGTTTCAGGTTGTATTTCCTTTGATACCTATGTAATCCCTATAGAGCCATGAAAAAATTAAGGGCCATAAACCTACCTTAGTTTAGTGTTTGGTTTAGGGTCAGGGGTCAGTTGAGGGATCTCATCTACTGGCTTCTGTGCTCTCTTGCTAGATACGTTCTGTTGGGCCTAGCGGAGGGGATAAGGTTAAGGTGCGATCCAGTAATAGTATAGTCAGTGATACGCTATCAGCATCTAGGTACAGTAGATGTTCAAAGGGTGTCCTGCCAACTCTTGAGACTTATTAGAGCTTTGGGGAACTGCATTTATGGGTTCTAATCTGCTCCTCGTAATATTAACCCCCCCCACCACCCTACTATTAAAGAGTCCTAACAGATTGCAGCACATCACAATGGGTATATGTGCTGTCTGAGTGTGGCGGTTTAGTATTAGGAGTAGTTGTTTATAGGGATGGCAGCCTCGATCTAGGGTTAGGATTTAGGGTTAGCGTCCTGTTGGGTTTTGTTTGTGGAGCCTTGGATGCTTCGCTGTTGTAAGGCTTGTGGACTGTAATGATGCAGCAGATGCAGCTTTCGATTCCACACGCGGTAACAACTTCTTCTTGATGCTGACGGGACCTCCTACGGGGTGAGCGGGCAGCAAATGCTTGGTTGAGCTTTTTTATTGCCTATCTCCCCTCCACTTTAGAGCATCACAGTATTTGAGACCGAGCAATGCTCAATTGTTTTGTGGTGGGCAATCTGTTCCTCCTTCTTTTGGTTGGGGGCGAATGCGGCGAGTCTTTATCTAATTTAAGAAGGGTTCATAGTCTCGCGTATCAGGTCAAATTGAGAGAGACCTGACAAGTTTGATTTAGGGTTTAGGGTTCGCTTACCGGTGCTTAGTAGCGACTTAGGGAATATAATCCCTATATAACCCTTCATAATATATGCCATTATTCCCTACCTACCCTCAGTAAGTTTAGGCACATCAAAGAGACCCGCGCCACCCCTGCAACATCGGGGAGGGCTAATTCCATGACCTAGCAGAAAGAACTTTGGACTGCTGAAAGCAACCCTTCCTCAACTGCCTTAAGCCCTGATCAGAATGGTACTATATTAGGGATATGCATTATTATGGTGCTGTGGTGGATTATTACCAAGGTATGGGGGGGCAAAAACCCTCCCTCAAGTGCGTCTTTGTGGTCCGGCATCATTTGGGGATGCTGAGGTGCTTCCGCTGCACCTCCTGGAGAAAACGAATGCGCCGCAGCCGCTTCCTTGCCAACTAATGTCCTTGAGAAAGATCTGTGGGTCCTCAAGAATTTTGTGTTTTGGGGGGTGCCTGTAATGTTGGCTATGTCGGGGACATAAAGCAGGGGCCCTAGCGTTTCCAAGCTACCATATAGATGGAACCCGCACGTTTATGCCCACGCTGGACTGTGCCCAAACTAGGGCCTGCTTCTGAGGTGACCTTTCCTCTTCACTTCCGTTTTTCAAGTTGACGGTTCACAGGAGTCTGGACAATTGGCAACAGCCTTCCACGAGGATTCCGTCTAAAGCGGCCTTGAGATCCCTCTAAATGCTGTCTTAGCGTGGTCGCTAGTCCGTTCATGTTGAGTTATTGTTACACTTGATGCGCGCGGGGCTTCAATCCTATGATCCCAGAGCACTTTCCACCGCGGCTTAGGATGCAACGACTCTTCGAGCTGTTCCGCAGGCAGGTGTCCAGCAGCCTTTCTTGTCCTTTTCGTTCGATAGAACTTTCTCAGGGTGCAGGCATTCATTGGGCTTCGCCCAGCTTCTTTCCCAGAGGGTCCATGTACCCAATAATTAGGTACTTGGGTTTTGGAGTAATAGTAATTATAGTATAGGTTTTGGGTAAGTATATGATTATTAGGTACTTGGACCCTTAGGGAAATTCCCTTTAGCTTCTTTTTTTGCTTGCATATCTTTATGGTGTATATACATCCGGATTCCAGGTAGGCAACCGATTCCTTGTCCGTGCGAAGGCGTGTCAAGCTAAGGGCCGGTTTTTGTGGGTGTTGGTTCCCATATTAGTGTACTGGAGGAAGTATGATCTTAGGGGATTTGCCCAGTGCAAAGGGTCTAGGAAAACCTGCATCCTAAACCTCATGCCTTTAACACCTGAATTCTTTAAGAGCCGTTAAGAGGCTGCCACACAGGCGGTCACTGCAGGCAATTGCAACTCATGATTATGCCCCTGGTCTGGAAGCCCCATCTACTAAACTGGGTATACGCGCAGCGCCCTTGGGATCTGTAGGAATTATAAGGAAACTATGCTGCCTCCCTTGGGGTCTGTGAAGATTTGAATGGCTGTGTGTGCTTCGCATCCTGCCCCGCCTTGTGTCTCATACTATATAGTATACGGAAATATAGTACAGTAGACTATACTATAATATAGTATACTCTAGTATAATATATCATAATGTCCTCTAATGGTCCCCCCAAGTTGCAAAGAAATCATGGACTCACCGTTGCAAGGAATCCACAAACGAAATCCATGTCCTCGATCCATCAATCAGTGGCGCTACCATGCGATAAAGATCTTGGTAGGCTGCCTTCGGCCATCCACTTCTACCTCGAGGCAAACATCTTCCCCAACTTCATGCGGTTCCAGGAGCAGAAGTGCGGATCATAGTTGGCGGTCCAACTTGTGACTCATGAGATCACACCCCTTATTTCATTACATCTTGTAAATTCTTATTCTATTACATACGGTATGATTCTCATAAAATTGTTATAGTAGTACTGCTTTGCTATATTGTCTCTATGTTACACATCATCTGACATACTATGCCACATATTTTTGAAATGATGAGTAGGATGAGTAGGTCTTCAAGTTTCGGGCAGTATGGGGCGCTCCGATGGGGCCTTAATCGGTGTAGGTTGGGTACTGCCCCCCCTCAGTAACAGTTGGATAATAAATATACCATGGTTATGTATAGCCCTTAATAGGACCCCTAATATAGACTGTTACTGGGGGGGGCAGTACCCAAGGTGTAGGGGTTGGGGTTTAGGTAGGGTTTAGGGGCTGAGCTTAGGGGGCGCTTAATCTTGGGGTCCTCGTAGCGGGGAGTCTCCTGAGGAATCTTCTGGCATCCTTAGGCCTTAGTATAGTATAACCCTGAACCCCCAAGCCCTAAGCCCTAAACCTTAAACCCCATAGCAACTTCAAGGGTTGCAACCTGTGCGCAATGTGTATGCGCATTCAGATGATGAGTGTACTAATGTAGCAATATAGTGAGAATATAGTGGTAGTATTGGAGCAATCTAGTACTAGTGTGGCCTTAGTAGTACTATAGGAGTCATATAGCAATAGTATAGGAATAGAATGGTAATGGTATAGGAGTTATAGTATGTAACCCTTTCGCTGAGTTGTCTTTTTCGTTTCGCAACCTGAGGGTCTTTACGCTTTTTCCCCCCGACGTTCTTTCCCCAAGCCTGGATGCTGGCTGAGGTTCTCAGCTTCTGGGCAAGAGATGGGTGGATCCATCCTTTTCAAGCAGAGGCGCGTCCTCATGTGTGAGGCGCAATGTATGTTGTATGGATTGAGGTTTCTGGAGTTGGCAGTTTTGAGGGGATCCGCACTGAAGGATGCAGGGTTGGTGATCAAGGTCTGGACGCTACTGCCATGAAACGGCATTCCTCTCACAATCAGTCTCAGCTCTTGATGTGATTCGTCGTGACTCTCAAAGCTTGATTAGGATCTTTTGGGATTGGGCGCTTGAGCCTTGAGGCAGGTGTATGAGGCCAATTGCTTGAAAGGCCAATTGTTGAAGCTTCTTTCTGCCTCCTAAGTTTTGTTTCGCAGCTTTGCAGATAGTGGTCGCCATCCTACCCATGACAACACCAGCAGTTGCACATGTGTACTCATGATGTACTTCAAGCTCGCGGCACAACCGTCTGCCCACTATCCATTTGAAATGCGCATCAGCTTGTCTTTCAGCTTGCCAGCAGTTGCCACAGTTTGAGTCAGAGAGCGCGCAAAAAGTCTTGTGAGCCTTACTGCAGCGGCTTTCATGGTACATTGCCCTCACACCTTGAAATCTTCCCATAGCCTTTTTCCCCCCTGCAAAAATGCAGGTCCTTAAAACCTTGAAATCATGCAGCTGGGAACATCCAACTCCTTCAGAATTTGTTCCCTCCATCTCTCCTACAGCCTTTCGGGTTGTCACGAGCGTGGATCAAGTGCATTGACAATATCACGTATACAGCTCCTGTCAGGGACAGTCGCAAGCTGCATTGGACCTTTCCAGGCTTTCAAGACCCCTGAACTTGAAATATTAAAAGCTCATCTGCATCCCCAGAACTTGATCTCCTGCACGCCCCCAAGAAGATAACCCCTCCCCCAAACAAAATAAAAAGCGCACAACACTGGAGAACCCCTAGATGCCCAGTTCTTCAGCTATCTCGTGGTCACAATCCAGCACGGACTCCCATTGAAACCAGATGAAGACCACATTCGGGAAGGGCCTATCTGGGCTCGGGGAGGCGGAATTGCCAGACCCAGGCAGTACAGCATCCGTAGATCATACTAAGGGATCATCAATTCCTTCGTGGGTGGGCGTTAAACCCAAAGCCCTAATCCCTATCCCTTGAAAACCCTCAAACTCTAAGCCCCAATCCCTAATCCCTTAAACCCTAATCCCTTGAATCCCTAAACCCTAATCCCTCAAATCCTAAACCTTAAGCCCTTAAACCCTAATCCCCCAGACCCTAATCACTTACACCCTGAATCCTAAACCCCTAAACCCTAACCCCCCAAACCCTAATCCCTTAAACCCTAATCCCTATAAATCCTAATCCCTAAACCCTGGGACCAGGCTCGGGTTCTCGGGAACACCCTCCGAACTCATGCCGCGGGAGCTGGGACAGTGCCTTGAAATCTGCTTAGGGATCAGGATTTAGGGTTTATAGGGTTTAAAGGGTTTAGGCTTCAGGATTTAGGGTTCACAGGATTCAGAGTTTATAAGGTTTATGATTTAGGATTTAGGGTTTAGGGATGGTACCCCCGCCAAATAATGGAGAATGATGTGGAAAAGAACATGGACACTCACATGGAAACTGCTATACTGAAGGTACATAAGATTTCATAGCGTTGATGGGACTGCTTGAACTTGTTTTTGAGGTGTTTAGGGTTTGGGGATTTGGGGATTTGGCGTTTAGGGCTTTAGGTTCTAGAGTTTCGGTTTCGGGGCTTGGGTGTAGGATCATATCGAACGTGTACCATTCTGTAACTGCGAGATACTGCAAGAATGATGACTGCTCTTGCTTGTCATTAGCTCTGCTTCTACTACAACTGAATCTTGTGGTGACGACAACAGCAATCATGATGTTGGCAATTTGTAAGGTGATGGCAGTGTCTGCTACACGGCTGCTGCACTTAAAGGATCTGCAGTGTGCTATTGCAGGCACAAGGGCCGTTTCTAAATGCCTGTGTTCTTAGGTCAGGACATCTTCATAACAAAGCATAGCATGCAGCATATGTGCCTCTCGCTCAATTAGGCATTGCCCGTCAAATTTTGAATCTGCCTTGTGGGAGCTTCTCCATAGAAAGCAGGACCTATAGAATCCTTGGCAGCTAGCTCTTCAGAATCCCGCCACAATGTCCTTGAGTTCTCCAAGAGCCGCCCTTTTCGAGAAACCTCCCATGTCAAGACTCTCAGCCAAGACCAGCTGAGAGGTGCACTAGAGTCTTGGATATAGACTAAGATTAGATTATCCTTTTGCGTATGGCCTTCAAAAAGGAGAATCCCCAAACCCTAAACCCCTAAACCCCACCCCCCTAAACCCTGAACCCTATTCAGAATATCGTCAAAGTTGGCTCAGCCACCAGAGAACCCCATTCAGCTGAGGTGTGAATACGAGCCTGGGAGCGAGGGCGAGGTGGGGAACCACCAGAGGGCTTAGGGATTAGGGTTTAGGGTTTAGGGTTCAGAGTTTATTACCATTACTTAGGGTTTGGGGGCGGATTTTGGTGTTTAAAATGTTGAAGGTTTTAAATTTTCAGGTTAAAGGGAACCCCAAGTAATGGTAAGTTTATATGGGCTTGAGGGTTTAGGGTTTAGTCGAAACTCCTTAAGGGGGGGTATATCGGGGATTGTTATATAGGGGGGTATTACAGGGCTTATGACGGGGGATACTAGGAGTTTAGACTATAGCTCAGATGCTGAAGCCTGAAGAGGGGTTATAACAGCTTGTAAAGTATTACCTGAGCCCCAAAAAGTATGCAGAATCACAGCCTTTTGGGCTGTGTTTAGGAGATTTGGGCCAGTTGTTTTTTTTTGGGGGGGGTCCAGGTACTAGCTTCTAAAGTATTAAAGGATTGACCTCGAAGTGTATAGTAAAGACGCAGCTTGTTATACGAGGAGCGCAGCTGTCAGATGTCTTATTCGTCAAAACCTTCACACTCTCAAAAAGCTGAGATGTGCTACCCTAACCCTGAAACCCTAAACCCTAAACTCTCAGACCTTAAGCCCTAAACCCTAAAACCCTAGAACCCTAAACCCTAGGTGGTGAGCACCTTGACCTCTCCGTCCATCGTGTCCTTCAAGACCTTGGATGCAGATTGGACTGTGGAGGCATGCTGGCTCTTGGAAACACGACATTCAGGTTTAGGGTTTAGGGTTTAGGACTATTGCAGTCACAGCCAGCCCATGAGAGTGGCAAATACGAGGAATCATGTAAACTTTGTAAATCTCAGTGATTTACTGCCCTAGGCCCTAGCAGCAGAAACATGGACACCTCCTGCACGGCCTATCTGAAACTTTACCTTCTGGGAGGCTCCTGGGGTTCGTCGCAGTGGCTCCAGCTGAAGACCCCAAGTCGCCTAGTAAGTGTCTAGGACTCAAGTCGAATACCAGCAGCCCATTGACTCTACATCAGCTATCTGCTAGCAGGGAGTGCGACTTCTTGTTGCGTGTCAAATGTTGCTCGCATTTTCTGGATGCCTAGTCTGTCAACCGAAAGCAACATGATGGACATCGGCCGGTAAGCAATGAAGCAGGTGAGTCGCAGTGGCAAAGTCCAAAACGCTAACGCTATCATCATCGAGCACAAGAGCACGGGAACTTGCACATGTTTGGGGCTCTTTTCGTACTCTTAGTGCTGGCTAGAGCCAAAGCTCGTGATGCACCGTTCAGTTCTGTGCATACGTTCCAGCAGGCACTGTTGGATGCAGTGGCTGAAGCCGCATGCCGTGGCGAGTGCCAAGCGCTCATCGACACGGGCGTTGGAGCCTCAGGGTTCTCACGTGGCTAGGCACAGAGTTGGCATTTCGACAAGCTCTTGCAAGAAGCATGCCAATTGAAGTGCTGCCTCGACATCCGAAAAACTGTACAGGGTTCTTCTGTTCCCAGTGTGACTTGCAGACGAGGCGTGACTGCCACTTCAGCTTCAAGCATGAGTAGCTTCTGTGGCGTAGCCGACCACCACCCCCTTTCTGCTTTCTAGCATCTGCCAACAGCCCCGTACACGCACCGGAATGTAGAATGATTTTCATGCCTAAACGTGGCCAATAAGAGCAACCATTGTCGTCATACGGTTTCTATATCCGCAGTAATTCAGATAAAGCATAAGCAGGGTATGAATCTTCTTCTTCAAATAGATTGCATCAGCATCTGCCCAAGGCTCTGGTCACGGGGCTCACCAACAAGGAGGTTGCAGAACATCTCCTCGGCCTAAAAAAGCGCAAGTTCCCCAGCAATTCCGTCTCCTGGTTCCTGGTATGAGCCTGCAGCATACAGGAATGCGCCGTTAACCCGGGGGTCCTTAGAATCCCCCTAAGAAGCCTGAGGGCCCATTTTAGGAGCCCATACTTCCAACCTTAGAGAGACCCCACATCTAGCTCAAAGTTCATAGCACTCTTTTTGTTGACAAAAGGTCTTGCCTTGGCATCTACGATCTTCATTCCAGGATCTCCTTGTGCCCTTTAAATATGGGTATACGGTCTCTATTTAGGGTATATAGAGGGTAGAAGGAGGGTCTAGGTTCTAGCACCTCGCAAGAGGGATTCCCATTGAGGAGATGCCTGCATTTTCTTCTTACTGAATGCATGCCTAAACCAACAGCCCTGACACCTCCCTGAGTCTGTAGCATCAACCTTAAGCCAGCCCACTGAAAGAGGGCCACTTTCAACTTTCCAGGTTCCGATGGCTCTATGCCCGTGACGCTACCGGACTGGTTTCCTGGCCTTTGTTGGCAGGGCTTCTGAAGGGGAAGCTGGCCGGTCACTAGTCCTATGTCAAGGGTTCGCTTTTTAGGCCAGTGTGCAATGTAGCCACTGTGTTTTTGGCCATATCCATCCATCCGACATCATGGGATTCAAGGGCGGCGGTTCCATGAGCCATTCATGCCAGTATCCTAACAGCGAGCACATATGACGAGTTTCTCTTGGTCTTGTTGAAGCCCTTGGCGCCACCCTATGTTTTTTCTATCTTGAACGGCACTTTGAGGACAGGCTAGGAAACCCGAAATGCTACGGAATAACTAGGTAGATGCCTCCTCCTTTGGGAGAGTCTTCCTCTACTGCACCGCTTTCATTCCTAACATTATCCCTATAACCCTCAAATACTATATTCCCATAGTCCCTACGATAATCCCAATACACACCCTATTATAATGTAGTAGTCTCCATTTTGTTTTCCATTATCCCTATACAACCCCAAGATATGACTAACTAAATCTTAAACATTAACCCTAACCTTGCTGTAAGCGCTCGGGAAGGGTCAACAGGCAACGAGTCTTTACAACCCAAGGCACTTCCTCCACACCATAGTGAAGGCCACTCATAGACCCAAAGCCTACCTACATACGTATAATCCCCCTTCAGTAGATAGAATATGGCTTTGGGTAGATTATAGTAAGATCCCCATATACCCCATATTCTATCTACTTCAGGGGGACTCTAAACCCTAAACAGTAGTTTCCATGTTCTTTTCCATTATCCCTATATATCCCTGTATATAACCCCTATAGAACCTTCTGTATATATATATATATGTAGGAACCATCCCCACACCCGAATTCCTAAATCCCATGGAGCTTCGAGCCTAGGATCGAAGGTGTCGTTTTCATTGAGGAAGATGGCGCAAAGCGCATCCTGCCGATGCCTTGCCAGGGAGCCTCCAGGGATACACCTATAGCCAAATACATGAAGCCCATAATGTAGAAGTTACACAGGCTTATGTAGCGATCTGTAGGCTATAGGGGAAAGTGGGTATTCAGGGTTTGGGGACTTGGCCCCGCAACACAGGTGGCTTGAGCGATACAAGATTTTGGTGACCTGGAAAGGCGCCTTTCAAAAGGACTGTAGTCTCGATAAAGCTTGTTTTGGAGTTCCATGTTGGTGTAAGGGAGGTTTGAGACTAGCATGCTTACGGTTGAAACGTTGTGTAATTGTTATTGGCGCCACATTCCTTTTTTAATGCAAACTAGTCCTGATTTCTCACCACAAGGAGGGCGTCTACTGGCCACGGCTTTGCCGCATGTTGCTGTAGTAGGCAGACCTACCATGCAGTGCCTGCCACTCCACGACTGGACTATCTAGCCTGGACTTGCCAGAGCCGCTCCCTCCGTCATTTTCAAGAGAACAGGCCCCAGAGACTGCCCGCATTGTCTTGGAGCTCCAGATGCCTACGCCCAATTAGGAGCCTCAGAACTCCCAAGCTTGGCCGAGGAATCGGCAGTCGCGTGAGGTTGGCAAGCTTGCAGTCAGGAACTTACATGAAGTCAGCATTGTGCGCCATGCTCCTGGTTCAAAGTCAAGGATGTGTGCGCCAGTGTTGTTCAAGGATGCTCAGAGCCCGAGGCTTGTAGGGAGAAAGGCCTGTGCAGGGTGAACATGTTGATCAGAGTAGGTTGGGTTGAGGACACCAGGCACGATTAGGCATGCTCCTGCCGGCATAGTCCTTGTTGCCAAGCCGCTAGGGTTCCACCTGAAGCAGCGCTGAACAACGGACAAATCCTGACAGCCCGTATCACAGCCCATGACGTCGAACGCCCCAGCCCTGAAACATCAAGAGGAACCACTGTCCCGGAGGGTCCTTGTAGGTATATGGTATCTGCTTAGGGCCCAAGGGGATTCGCGCACACCTACTAGGGGCCCAGGTACTCGCTACGGACTATAGAGCTACATTGGATGTTTTGGGTTTCACAGCAGAAGACACTGTGCGCCCCTCTTCGTCCCTGACACTAAGGACAGCGGAGTTCCCATCTCGGCAAGATTCTGCTTCTACGACCAGATCCATACCACAGGACACCTTTTTTGGGGTGTTTCATCTCTTGACCAGGACCCTCCTTGTACCCTTAATTGGCGATATATGGTCCCTCATAGTAGGTACTAAGGCCTTAACAGAGGGTAGGAGGAGGGTCTAGGGAGGGTTCCTTTGGACTGGATTTAGGGTTCAGGGTTTCGGATTTAGGTGATCCTTGCTGAGGGCCGTCTTGATAGACTACCCTGATCAGTTCGGTGATTATGGAGTAATGTAGGCGCTGAGGGTGTTTAGGGTTTAGGGCCGGGAGCTAATAAGGACTATATTAAGCCCTAGGGTTCTAAATCTGGGTGGGGGGGGTACTATTGTAATCCCTCATCTAGAGTCTAGACCACCTAAGGCAGGAGTTACAACTGCCCGCCTTCAGTTGTTTGACCAACCACGTGCCCTGCTGGTGTATAACCCAGACCCCTGAATAATAACCCCCCTCCCCTTAATAGGGATTATAGAAGGGTCATGGGTCTACATTAAACCCTAAACCCTCAATAGTAGTTTCCATGTTATTTTCCATTATCCCTATAATATCCCTATATAGCCCCTATAGTAGTCCCTATATAACCCCTATAGGGTCTACATTACTTGGTATCGGCCTCCTCAAGCTTCGGACAGCTTTTGAAGACTCAGAGATGAAGCTCTGAATGTCACCCTATGCACTCAGATTTTTTGTAGCCAACCCCTTTAGAACAACAGCCAAGCTTGATACCTACAACTGCAACCTCACAACCTCTTCAGAGTTGTTCTGAGCAGCCAGCTTTTGATCCCAAGAAGAGTACCTCACAACCTGTCATCTCCTGGTCTCCCAAGCCTAAACTGAAAGCCCTTCAAGCTTAATCCGGGGAATCAAAGCGCGGCTCTCAGGCATGGACATCCAGCATCGGTTAGATGCAGTTGCAGCCCTCACGCTGGGCTTGGGGCTCAGTGGAGGAGAGTGGGGTGGCCTTGGAGTGTCAGGATTTGCAGCATTTGGGTTTGCCTGAGTTTCTTGGCAGTGTTGCCTTCTTTTGTGGTATGAGAAACACGAGGAGAAGGTGCCTGCTTAAGATGAACGTCTGCAGTAGAAATTCTGACCAGGACGAAACACTGGCATCTCTTCTATGTAGGCGCCTGCAGGACATTTTTGTTGCTAAGATCTGACAAGAAGCCATCAGCCAGCACAAGGTCAGGCACAAACATCCAGCATGTAGGCATGTATGTATGAGTGTGCAAGCATGATAAACAATGTGTGTATATATATACATGTATAGATTATATGTACACATATACATGTCCATTTATAAGCACGCTTGCACATATGTGAAGGTATGTTCTCATACAGGCCAGGTTAAGCTGTGCGACCGCATGACCTCTTCCAGAGCAACACCGGCTCCAGAAGGGCGATTCCCCCCAAGCTCCACCATTGACATTGTAGGCTCCGTGACATTCTCTAACATGAAACGGTCAAATCCAGTTTTGACTGAGGCCACTGGGGGACGTCTTCTCTTTCCCTTCAATTCGTCAGGCCTTTAAGGCCAAATCTGTTTTACTGCTGAATGTGTGTGACCTCCTGGGTACTGAGGCAAAGACATGGTTTGGCGTGGCCTGACTGCAACAGTGCATGAAGTCAGGGTTTTGGGTGTATGGGATCCCAAGAAAAGCTGTAAGTACCCGTGGAATACGCGCATAGTCCCCATACACATCCCTGGGATGCAGTCACATCTGCCAACTTGTATCATGAGGTCCCACAAGCTGAAGGAAGGGTTGGGGAAACACAGGAGCAGTTGAAGGCGCCATTCCTGAACTTGTATTATTTGAAAGGGAAGCAGCTCGCCAAACCTCAGAATTACAGTGGGATGGTTGCATCAACCCTTTCTGCAATTCTACCCAGAAGGCTAGCAGATCACTAGCCGACCGCCACACTGCTCCGCTTGCTCCTTGTACTTTTCAACGTCATGGCATTGAAAGATACATGTTTTCAGGCATAGTTTAGAACGGGGTTCCAGGAATACACGATACTCATCGGGCTAGGAGGACAGAGGTTTCACCCAGAGGACCCTTAGACACAGGCCCATCTGGCCAACCTTTGACTACCGGGGTTATATTGGAAGAATGGAAACTAAAATGGAAACTACTATTTAGAGTTTGGGGCTGGGTCCTGGCGTCATGATGTCATGGCCAACCCCTGTTCCTCACCTGAACAGCAAGCTCCTCACCCCGCTAGCGAGAGCGAGCATGTCCAAAAGAATACCGATAGATACTAGGGCTAGGAGCATTCATTGTTTGAGGCGGGGTTGTCATTGCGAGGAAGGACCGGTTTGCTGCGCAGCTTATCTGAAAACCACGTTGTTCGATATATTTCGTCATTCTCACTAGTTTCAACCGCCTGCTTACAAATCCAGACGAGGGTAATATTGGAAGCACTGCTGGAATGCTCCAAGGCGACTTCGCCCAGGGCGCATACAGGCCCATTGCGATTTAGGGTGTAGGGGTTCACTTACCTGGGGTTGGCTGGGAATGAAGGAATGGAAAAGAAAATGGAAAGCATTATAATGGGGTACATAGGGACTACTGTAAGCATCCATTCCTCCCTAAACCCTAATTCTAAACCCATCATGGGTTAGTAAAAGGATCCATTCCTTCATTCCTAGCTAGCCAAAGGTAAGTTCAGGGTTTAGGCGCGATTTAGGGGTTCAGGGTTTGAGGCTTGGTTTGGGTTGACTGTACGGTGCCAACTCATCTGGGTATTTCTCAAAATACTCCGATGTAGAATCCAGAATACGGAGCCTCAATATCTCCGTATAACAAGTGTATGTACGCACATCTATGTATATATATATATAGAGACATATATGTAGATATACATATGCATACAAGTTACAAGGATGTTCTCAGGATCCCTGATTAGTGCTTCGACAAACCGGCATCTTGGCCGAAAACAACGGACGTCACAGGGTGAAGGCCGGCATGCTAAACCTTGGCTTGGGTTATATTGGGGTTATGTTGGGGGTGATTATATTAGGTTATGTTGGGGTTATATTGGGGTTCTATGGGGTTATATGCTATTGCAGCACCTCAACCAACGTCTCGCGACGTAATTTCTTGAATCGTCTTGTCATAGCTAGGGTGAAAGGGTCATGTAGGTTATTACGTAATCCGGAGAGTCTCAAAAAGCCCTAGATGATCCTCCGGTATATGGACCTTTCCTTTTGACGAACCCTCCAAACTCACTCTACGGCCATTACAGGACAGGAGTTGCCATCTAGGGACCCTACATAAGCCTTACATACCCCTTGTATAACTTCCCGTGGTTCCTATTTACTTATTTACTCCTTGTATACCCCTTATGTAAATTCCCTCCCGTGGTAAACTTCCCCCCTAAACCCGAAACCCTACTTGAAGGGTGATGGGGACTTAGTAGGAAAATAACCCCTACTAAGCCGTAAAATGACCCCAACTATCCCCATGATTAACCTACTTAATTACTAAGTCCTCTTCACCCTAAACCCAAAACCCGAAACTCGACTAGTTGTGAGAACAGAGCTCTACAACATTCCCGAGCGCACGCGCTGGGCACAAAAGAGCCGTCGGGACTAAACAAATCTATAGTCGTTTCCATTTTCTTTTGCACTAGTAACCTACTGACTAAGTCCCCCTGACCCTCCAAGCAATGTCTTACCGAAACAGGATGCCCCAAACCCTGTTTTAATGTAGTAGTCTCCATATTCTTTTCCATTCCATGATCCCTATAGAATCCCTATATAACCCTTATCTAACCTTGATATAGCTCCTATATAATCCCTATATTGTGTAATCCCTTAATCTCTATATAAAGCGAGACAGGATGCGAGGCATCGGCCGCGGCCAGAGCATTTGTCTCTATATCATCCCAGAGCTTGCAACTCAGCGAGGGCCAGGGAGGTCATTTAGGGTTTGGAGTTGAGGATTTAGGGGGTTTGGGGGGTTTAGCGGTTCTGGGTTTAGGGGTTGGGGTTTAGGGCTCAGGGTTTGGGATTCAATGTTTAGAGTTTAGGGTTTGAGGTTTAGAGTTTGGGGGGAGCTTGGGGTTTGCTTTTCTGTGTATCTATAGTATCACATACCTCAAGGGGAGATTCCAAGGATGTAGGCCCCAAGATTCAGAGGGTTCTTTCAGAATAGTAGCCCATTTGGGGTTAAGGGTTTAGGGGCCATCATGCTATGATATTGCAGTTTGATAGCAAGTCTACAATGTACCAATCAAGAGGCGCACCATCCTTACAGGAGGAAGTTCGGTGATTTGACGCCTTGAAGTTTAGCTTTTAAAGCCTCCCCCTAAACCCTAAACCCCAAGGAGTTTTGCAGGGGATTACAATCAGATCCGTGGACTTGTGTTTCTGGGGTAGAGGGGAAAGTGGATTGTATGAGTTCTTCTGCGTTTCCAACTCCACCTCAAGCACCGGTACGTGGGGGGGGGACCTTAAGCCCTAGACTAGGCAACATAAGGAAGCAGGCCCCCCCCTCCAAGAAGACTTACTGGGGAAAAAGAGGGGAATGAGGGAATATAATCCCTTCCCTATACAGTACATGTCCCTTACCTATTAATCCCCAGTAAGAAGAAGAAAGCAACAGCCCAGGATTGAGCAGCTTATCTCGAGGGATATTGGCTTGGCCCATCTGCCTCAGCTGCCCCTTGGCCTCATGGGTATGTGGGTGTGAGGAAAGGTGGGGGCGAGATTCGGAGTAGGGTTTAGAGTTTGGGGGCTTTAGGAGTTTAGATTTCGAAGCTAAGCATCTTTGACCACGTATGAAGAGGTCTTGGAAGTGGGTATGCTGGACCAGCATGCAGGCCTTGACTTTTCCGTGTGGACTTTCAGGACTCAGAAGGAAGCGGGTTTGCAGGTAAGAATACTCACCCTTCATCTGAAGCTGCTGTCATGGCTGCCATTATCACTGCATGGAATATTTATACTCTGGGCCCATACAATATGTCCGACAGAGGATCCAAGTTGACCCTAAACCCTAAATCCTAGAATCCAAACCCTAGGGTCCAAGTTGACGGTAAACCCTAAACCCTTAGGGTCCAAGTTCTCAAGTTGTCCCTAGCCCTAAACCTTAAGCCCTGAACCCTTCGTGTTCAACTTGGCACTTAGCCCTAAACCTTGGAATCTAAACCCTAGCGTCCAAGTCGACCCTAACCCCTTAATCCTTAAGGTCCAAATTGACCCTAATGCCTATACCCTAAACCCTTAGGGTCCAAATTAACCCTAATGCCTAAACCCCAAACTCTTGGGGTCCAAGTTGACCCTAATGCCTAAACCCCAGCCACTTAGGGTCCAAGCTGTCTTTCCCACCCAAGGCCAGGATTTTCAACCCTTGGCAACCGGCACAAGGCAAAACCTTGCCTGCGTGGCCATTCAAGGGCTAGGTACTAAGGTTATATAGGGGTTATATTGAGGATGAAAAAGAAAATGGAAACTACTATATTATAATAGGGTTTCGGGGTGGAGGATTACCCTAAGGGTCCAAGTACCCCAAATGCTAGAATCGGAATTGTTTGTGGTACCTTGCCAAGAAACCCTACGAGCGGGTACTTGGACCCTCGGGATTAGGGTTCAGGGTCTGCGGTTCTCATGGAGGGCAGGAAAGCCCTGTAGCATCATATGCCGATATCACGGTTGCCTGGGTTTGCTGCTGCACGGATTAGTGATCAAGAAGACTGTCATATGTTGGGATCTGTGAAGGTCTGAGCAATCAACACATGCGGGTTGATCCAAGGTCCTTTGGAAATTCGTTTAGGGTTCCGGTAGGTCTCTAAATTATGGCCATTTTGGGAACATGAATTTTGACCAACTACCGCACATGTGCATGTGGGGTGTTTCCCTGTAGCCACAAAGGAACTTCATACAGATGGGGGTTTGGCACTCAGCATTGGCAGCTTGAGGGTTGGAGGGGACATTTGTCTAGCCCGGGTGCCGTAGTAGTACCCTTGTTCCTTATCAAACTGGTCGCTTTATTAAAGCTGAACATTAGGAAAATACCCTTATCATCTAGAGGTTGCTGGGCACCCATGGGGACTTTGCGTCAAACGGTCTGAACGCGTGGGAGAGATGATGAGTATAGGGTCTAGGGTTTAAGTTGACCATCTCAGGGAAACCTTAGCAATCCTTGATGCATGCATCGGAGTGCTTCTGTGCGACGCCTGAAATCCAAATCATTCTCAGATAGGCCGCCGGACAGCCTCCCAAAGACCTGAAGCCTGAAACCCCATGAGATATAGTCCTCCTTAAGTAGATAGAATATGGCTTTGGGTATATTATAATAGGATGCCCATATACCCCATATTCTATGTACTTAAGGGGGACTATAAACTGTCCTGCAGGGTGTGCTGGATGCAGTTGCCTGTTGGCTTCTTTGTCAGCGCCAACCTTAGCTTTGATCACGGCTTTATTACCCTAAGACTCCAATGGTCAAGTACTTTCGGGTGGGTGACGGGGAAGGTGTGATTTTGGAGTGCTTGGATCCATAGTGCAAGTGCAATGGAACCTCGGAAACGGTATAGTGTGAAGATTTATATTCAGCATTGGTGACCTCGACCTCCGGGAATCGCTCTCACCCTGGGTGAACCCGTCAAGCTTATGATCCTGAAAATGTCGACTCCGCGGTAATCGCAGCAAAAGAGTACATTTCCTTTTGCCTGCCCTGTACCGCCATGTACTCTGCTGATCTTTGCAGGCTGTTGTAGTTGTGGTTGCAATGGACGGCCAGCACAATCCCCAATTGCTTTTGTTCAGCAGTTATGGTGTCTGCTAAAACACATCCGCCAATGCCCGACCCTAAACCCTTAAAGCGTTCAATCCTAAACGTCTACTAGATGAGTATGTCGTGAAGTCCGGAGCCCTGAAACCCCAATGTGGTTTCTTTAATGGTTTTGGTATCTTCGTTGGCTAAAGATTCTTACAAGCACTCTTACAGGGGATCTAGTAGACCCTTAAACATGCAAGGTCCATGCGAACGGAGAAGGTGCAATATGCCATGCTGCAGCTCCAGAACTTGGCCAACATCTGGCGCAGGACGCTTTAGATTTGAGTAGGGTAGGAGACATCCGGGCCTAACTAGCGCAGTCTGGTACAAGTAGAGGGTCAAGTTGCTTTGTAGGGGTTGAATGTTGTGGGGCGTGTTTCCAGGCTGTTATGGCCTAGCTCAATATGAAACAACTATGCTATCGTATAGGTTACAGGGGGAAAGGTGCCAATTGCTTTGTATAGTGTTCCGGGACACTGACCAAACTCTTTGGTAAGAAGTTGTGCTAGGGCTGATATCTCACAGACCCCTCAATTGCTGAACCCTTTATATTGACCCAACAGAGAGTTTGTAATCCCCAAATGGTCGAGCATGTGTCCCCGGCGTCCTTGAGGGTACCCCTTCTTTTGAGAAGCTTTTGTATGGGAAGCACCCATGAAGTATAACCCGAGCGTCGTTGTTGAAGACAGGAGCTCGTTGGCTGCAGTCATGGACGATTACGAGGCACGTTTTCCACACATTCGGTTTTGCCCATCATAGTAGTTCCAGAATCAGAGGGATCATCACCTCCCTGAAATATTCCTCCCCCCCTCCCCCCGAAATATCTAATATTACAGTACATCCAGGCGACGACGAGGCTTAGGAAGGCATTTAGATAGCTTTTTTAGCTTCCTTGCGCTGTAAGTCTTTTAATGCCGTTTGTCTGTATTCTTTAGGACCTTGCAGATGGGGATTCATGCAGTTTCAGTAGTTACTCCCGGAGGCTATTTCAGGGTATCCTTTCTCCTGCGCACATGTTGCAGCCAAGCACAATCTTTGTGTCACTGGCTCCCTCGACTGCAGCTAACTGGTTTCTTTGCATGATTTGCACGGTCACCTTGTCTCTCGCAGGTTCTGGGTTTAGGACTGCAATCAATCATTGCAGCTCTCTGGCTCCTTTCTGGCAAAAAGGGTCGGATCAAGTAGAGGATGTTGCTAACTGCTACGCAGCAAAGATGGGGATGCGAGCCCGCTGCAATTGGGTTCTAGGGATTCTAGGGGCTCGGCGAAGACTTGCTACAGAGAATTTGAAGAGCCCTTCTAACTCCCTCAGCCATCCCCAAACCCAAATTGCACCATCAGCTTAATACGAGCTATAGTCTAAACTCCGAGTCTCTCCCTTTCAACCCCCCAAAAGACTCCCATCTAATCCCCACCATTGAAAGGGTTAAAATTATAGCTCATAAGGTATAGACCTAGATCCTGAAGTGCCTACCTTGAAAACCCCTGTGGGCCCCAAGTGTACACCCGGTGGGAGACGTCATGCCAACACATCATCGCGACAGAGCCCTTGTTGAAATCTACGCCCCTTCTTTGGATTGCTCCTGCGCCATCTCCATATGAGTAGTAATTAATAAACGAAGTCCCCCCCCTCCCCCCCCCTCCCCCCCCCCTAATAATGAATAATCCGGAGGGTCAGAAATTATTTATTGTTAGGGGGGCATATTTATTGAAAGGATTTGGTAGGGCCGCCTCTGAATTCCGCTTTAAAATCAATTGAAAACGAATTAAAATCCGTTAGAC